GTCACCAACTTGGTCAGCGCGATCGTCTTTCTCTATGACTCTCTCACAGGGGTGCCCATCTTGGTGAGATCGGGGTCCTCCCCACCCGCCCTCCCCAGTGCTGAGGCCCCAGTGTCATCGCCTGACGGCCAGCTCCACCCGCCACCGGCAGCCCCACTGTCTGCTCCCGTTCACCTCGTCTTCCTCCCCTCTGCCCATCCCCCATGCCATTCGCAAGCGCCCCCCCCCCCCCACCCCCCGTCTGTCTCCCGGTTCCCATGCCGTCTCCTCCAGGCCTGTCTCCCAGCCGCGGAGCTCCGTCCGTCCCCTCCAGCTGCCCCACGGTCTCCGAGCACCCTTGGGTGGACGCCCACAGGGCGCACCCCAGCACCTCTCCGGTTCCTCCCTGCCCCACTGCCGGCTTGCCCGGCCTCCCTTGGGGTCAGTCCCTGCCCCCGCTGCTCCTTACGCCCTCGGTCGGCCTCGGCCCCCTCCCAGGGACCGGCAGCCCCCGTGCCTCCCGCCCGCCGACTGTGCCGGGCTCCCTGGCTCCGGCCGGCCGCCTGGGCCGGGGCGCTGACCGGCTGCTCTCTGGCGTCCCGGCAGGCGGTGAGCTTCTTCTCCCTGAAGTCGGACTCGGCGCCCCCATGGATGGTGCTGGCCGTGCTGTGGTGCTCCATGGCGCAGACGCTGCTGCTGCCCTCGTTCATCTGGTCCTGCGAGCGCTACCGCGCCGACGTGCGCACCGTGTGGGAGCAGTGCGTGGCCCTCATGTCCGAGGAGGACGGTGACGACGGTCAGAAGAGGACTGGCTCTGCTTGCCGGGACACCGGCCCTTCCCCTTCATCCCCCTGCCAGGCCCCTCCGCGAGAGGATGGGCTGCCTGCAGAGCCCCTGCCCAACAGAGCAGGCACCCGCCCCGGCCCCCTTGCCTAGGCCGCTCACCCACCGCCCCGCAGTGCACAGACTGCCCAGCTCTGGCCCCACCAGGCAGCGTGCCCTTGAAGTAGTCCCGAGTCCCGACACCACACAGGGAAGGTCTGCGGCACCGCGGGGACGCCAAGCTTCCTGAGAGCCCCTGGGCTCCAGGGACAGACAGGGCTTGGGGGAAAGCAGGGGGGTGTTCGCGTCGGAGCATCAGCATGTGCCAAGCTAGGGAGTCAGCACTGAGCTCAGCAGACGACACCCTCTCCTCCCCGTCAGTGGGACCTGAGGTGCCTGGAGGTGGGGGGAGGCGGGTGGACATTCCTTGCCCATAACCATGCTACCGCCTTCCCTCCTAGACGGGGGCTGTGATGACTATGCAGATGGCCGAGTGTGCAAAGTTCGCTTTGACGCCAACGGGGCCACGGGGCCAGGGGCCCGGGACCCCTCCCAGGTGAAGCTGCTGCCTGGGAGGCACATGCTCTTCCCTCCTCTCGAGAGAGTCCACTACCTGCAGGTATGGGGCGGGGCTCCTCCTCCCCTCGGCGCCCTCTCCCGAACCCCCGTTCCCCAGCCCAGGCTTGCCCGGCAACACGAACGAGGTTCCCTTTAGGCCTCTCAGAACTGGGTCTACCCACCCAGCAAGTGTTTTGAAGAAGACAGAGCTGGCTGGGCCTTTGGCTCACGCCTGTAATCCCGGCACTTTGGGAAGCCGAAGCGGGGCGATCGCCTAGGGCCAGGAGTTTGAGACCACCCTGGGGAACACGGCAAGCCCTCGTCTCCACAAAGCAATTAGCAGGCATGGTGGCACCCACCTGTAGTCCCAGCTGCTCAGTGGGCTGAGGGCAGAAGGATCGCCTGTGCCCAGGAGGTTGAGGCTGTGGTGAGCAGCGATCGTGCCACTGCACTCCAGCCTTAGCAACAGACTGCGACTCTGACGCAGAAAAGAAGGTGGAGCCGCCTCGCAGGGGTCCCCATTTTGGTTCCTGCCTTTGCCTTCTCTATCCCTGCAGCGCATCTCCAGGTCTCACCCGCTCCTCTTCCCAGGTCCCTCTGTCCCGCCGCCTGTCCCATAGGAGATCAACATCTTCTCCACCCCTCGGGCACCAGGCTCCTTCCTGCACAAGTGGTCATCTTCTGATGACATCCGGGTCCTCCCAGCCCAGAGCAGGGCCCTTGGGGGCTCTCCTGGGTACCTGGGACAAAGACACAGGCTGGAGGACGAGGAGGAGGAGGAGGCTGAAGGTGGGGGACTGACCAGCCTTCGCCAGTTCCTGGAGAGTGGGGCTCTGGGGTCTGCTGGGGGACCCCCTCGGGGTCCGGGCTTCTTCCGGGAGGAGATCACCACCTTCATTGACGAGACGCCTCTGCCTTCCCCGACGGCCTCGCCAGGGCCCTCTCCTCGCCGGCCGCGGCCCCCGGGCCTTTCGCCCCGCAGACTCTCCCTTGGGTCCCCTGGGAGCAGAGCTGTCGGACTCCCTCCGGGGCTGAGTGCGGGGAGACGCTGCTCCCTGACGGGCGGTGAGGAGAGTGTGAGGGCGTGGGGAGGGACCTGGGGCCCGGGGAGCCCCATCTTCCCCCAGCTGACTCTGTAGCTCAGGGGGGCCTGCTGGACTCTGAGGGGCCTGGGTGAGCCACGCCTCCTTCCGGCCCTGAGCCTAGGGCAGCTGCCTCCTGACTCCAGGGGGGCTGCGCCTCCCGTCCCAGTGACCAGGCGCCCTCCTCACCCTCCATCTTACTTAGCAAACTATTAAAGTCTGAAGTGTTGCCATGGAAACCGCGGTGTCCAGTGAACTGTGGCGGATGGTATGGCCAGCGGCTGGGGCTGGAGTGGTGGTTCCTGGGGGCAGTTCCGAAGGGGCGGCCGACGGGCGCGGCGCCCCAGCGCGCACAGGGACGCAGAGGCGCTGGGGCGGGGCACGCGGACTCTCCCGCGGTTGTGGTTCGGGCGTGACGGGTCTTCGCGCCGGCGCGGAAACGGCCTCAGGGCTCTAGCCCCAGCGCCCCCACTCTCCTCCTAGCGCCAGATCCCCCAGAAGCCCACCTTCCGGGCCGAGACGGCTCGGGCTGTCTCGGTGTCGCAGGCCTGCAGCTGCCCACCTGTGGGCTGCATTCTAAAAGTTCTCTGGGGCGCCAGGCCGAGCGTCTTTGTGGGTGGCTTCCACGCGCCTTTTCCCGGGCCCGAGCAAGGGTGGAGGGGACCCAGCCCCGGAAGGGCCCTCGGGACGCGAGTCGGGGGTCCCCGGGCCGCCGTCCGCCCTCGTCTCCGCGGCTCCGCGTCGGCCGCGCTGGGCCCGCCTTCCCGCTCGGGTCGGCCCGTCCCGCGGCGCCGCCGGCCGCCCCGCCCCGCCCGCCT